GCGCTCACACGAAGACGTGGGACTTACCTTCTGTTTCTTCACCTCGTCCGACAGTGGAGCCTCGGCAGCAGTTACCAGGTCCGGCTGAGGAGCCTATGCAGCTGGGCCGAAGCAAACTCACTCCGGCGGAGCGGGATCACCGCCGAAGGAATCGGCTGTGTTTCTATTGCGGCAACGCTGGACACGCCGTCTACTCTTGTCCGGTAAAAGGCGGGGCTCAATAAACGAGAGGAGATGTTTATTGAGTCGCGCATCCACTTCCTCCATCTCCTCACCATTCGTCATCCCCGCCGAGATCTGCGTCCCGGGTAAGATCTGTTCCTCCATCAAAGTGTTTGTTGACTCTGGAGCCGATACGGAGTTTTTGGACTATGATTTCGCTGTCACTGCCGGAATTAAAATCCTGCAGTCTTCTAAGAATCACTCCGTTGTCGCTCTTGATGGTCACCCTCTCAACTCTTCCTCCCAGGTCTCAGAGCCCGTCACGTTATGTTTAGGTGGTAATCATAAGGAACTAATCAGTTTTCTTATAATAAACTCTCCTGAGAACCCTGTAGTCTTGGGTGCTACCTGGCTGGCTAAACATAACCCTCACTTAGATTGGAGGCGGAGGGAGATTTTGGGATGGTCAGAAGAATGTCTCTCCACCTGCCTTTATGAAGCAGTGGTTCCTTCAGACTCTGTCACTCAGTCGCCCAGTTATTATCCAGACCTAGCTAAGGTCCCCACTGACTATCTTGACCTCAAGGAGGTGTTTAATAAAGTTAAGGCCAAGTCATTACCCCCGCACAGACCCTACGACTGTCCTATTGACTTCATGCCCGGTACCACACCACCCAGAGGGGGCCTTTATTCTTTATCCTCACCAGAGCAAGAGGCCATGAAGTCTTACATTCAGGAGTCCCTGCAGGCTGGGATCATCAGACCTTCGGTCTCTCCTGCAGGGGCCGGTTTCTTTTTTGTTAAGAAGAAGGATCAGACCCTCCGTCCCTGCATTGACTTTAGAGGTCTGAACAAGATTACTGTTAAAAACAAGTACCCGTTACCCTTGATGAACACTGCATTTGACCTTCTGCAGAGATCCAAGGTTTTCACTAAGCTCGACCTCCGTAATGCCTACCATCTGGTTCGCATCAGAGAGGGGGACGAGTGGAAGACTGCATTTAACACACCCACTGGACATTATGAATATTTGGTGATTCCATTCGGGCTCACCAACGCTCCTGCAGTTTTTCAATGTCTTGTAAATGATGTGCTTAGGGATATGGTTAACAAGTTTGTTTTTGTTTATCTTGACGACATTTTGATTTTTTCTAAGGACATTAACGCTCATAAAAAACACGTTAGATCTGTTTTAACCCGGCTTCTGCAAAATGGTCTATATGTAAAAGCCGAGAAATGTGAGTTTCACACCACCTCCACTACTTTCCTGGGTTTTGTTGTCTCCCCAGACTCTGTATCCATGGACTCTTGCAAGGTGGCTGCTGTGGTGGACTGGCCCACTCCCAAGGACCGGAAGCAACTGCAACGCTTTCTGGGGTTTGCTAATTTTTATAGACGCTTTATAAAAGGTTACAGCCAACTCGCTAAGCCTCTCCATGAACTTACCTCATCCAAGTCTCGTTTTGTTTGGTCCACCGCAGCAGCCAAAGCTTTTTGTGTGCTCAAAGAACTGTTTTCTTCAGCTCCCATCCTCCGGGCCCCCAACCCCGACGAGCCCTTTGTCGTCGAAGTTGATG